ATTATTTTAGTAATATAGTTTGAAGGCAACATTTTCTTGAATTTTTAAGTACTTTCGTTTGGTAAGGAAAAAAATATACTTTAGGGGGGGTAAAATTTTGTTTCTGCCCTTATCATGCGAACGCGACTTCAAAGCTTAAAAAGACATAAGAACGAAAAGTGAAGCTTCTCAAGACAAAAATAATGACATATCAATTTTAAAAATCGGCCGTCAAATAACCAAGTTACAACGAAAAAACCATTTCGGCTGTATTTCGGAGGGTTAAAAAAAAAAAAAAAAAATTTTTCCAGAACCCTCTCAACATAATCTTTAAATTTAGGGGCGGACATTAGCAACTTTTTTTTTTTGTATGGGGACCGACCCAGTCTAATAAGCATTCTACTTTTTGGTTGTTTGTGTTTCCGACAGGGTAGGAGTATGATGTATTGTGGAACGATTTTCCGTCATCCCTTGTCAAATTTGGTTTGGAGACAAACCGGTTTCGGCGTTGTGCCATCTTCAGTGTCATTTTTCGTTCTCTCCAAATTTGGCAAGGGATGACGGAAAATCGTTCCACAATACATCATAAGCATTCTACTTGGGAGTAGAGTACAAAGCAAAGAGGTCTTGCAAGCGTAGAAGAGACAAATGTAATTCTGCAACCCTTTAATACATATACGTATGAACACATGTATGCATAATACGCGAAAACTTTTTGAAGTGAAACAACAATTAGAAAAAGACCAATCCAAGAATAAAAGTATTTAAAAGTGAGTACGTACATAGACAAAGAAAAGGATGAAGGCAAAAGTAAAAATAAAAACAAAAACAAAGTTGCGCAGATAAAGGCAAAAATGAAGACCAAGATAAATTTAAACACTTTACTTATATGAGGGCAAAGGTGAAGGGGAATATGTATATAAAGAATATGATAAACATAAAAATAAAAACAAAGATAAATATAAAGAAAAAGATGAGGATGAGGATACCGATAAAAGTATAGATGAAGATAGAGGAAGAAAGATTAAAATAAAGGTAGTTGTAGAAAAAAGGATATAGATAGAGGTACAGAGACTCAACTATTTCGGGATTTTAGAGATTTTCGGGATTCTCGGGACTTATCTATATAATAATCGATATTTTGTCGGTTTTGTGATCGATATTTTTATCGATTTTGTTATCGAAATTTTTATCGATATTGTTATTGATTTTTCTATCGATATTTTCGGAACTTATCGATATAATGATCGATATTTTTATCGATTTTGTTATCGATATTTTTTATCGATTTTGTTATCGATATTTTGATTGATTTTGTTATAGATTTTGTAATCGATTTTGTTATCGACGTTGTTATCGATTTTACTAGTTTTGTTATCGATATTTTTATCGATTTTGCTATCGATTTTGTTTTCGATATTTTGATCGATTTTGTCATCAATATTTTTATCGGTTCTGTTACCGATATTTTTAATCGATTTTGCTATCGATATTGTTATCGCTTTTGTTATCGATATTTTTATCGGTTTTATTATCGATATTTTATCGATTTTGCTATCGATGTTGATATCGATATTTACATCGATTTTTTTGTCGATTTTGCTATCGATAATATTATCGCTTTTTTTATCGATATTTTTTTTACGTGTGTTTCTCGTTTTTGACTTGGATATGCTCTTAACCATACCACGTGTTCTACGTTTAAATTTAGCGGCTGTATCTCCGATACGGACTGCAGACCAAGACGAAGGCGCATGACTGTTCCTGTTTTTAATATTCGTAATATTTTTCCAGCAATTTTTTTTTTGTTATTTTTATATTAAGATATCGTCTAAGCTTTAACCTAAACCGTGCAAATCACAGTTTCAAACTTTATATAAAATTTAGGAAAATTAAACAAATTTTCATCAAAATTTCAACTTCTTATTCTGATTTTTTAGAAAATTCAGGGGCTAATTTTGCGGGTTTTTTAATATAACAAGCGCAATCTTGAAAACTTGCGTTGATATTTTGAAATTTTGTTGCTAACGGTCTCCCGCGTATTATTTCATAAGGTATTGACACTTACCCCAAAAAAAAATTCTCAAAAATCAACGCGATTTTTTAGCCGTTTGAAACTTGCACTTCATTAGACTAAAATTGTATGGTATATAAAACTGCATCCCCAAAAATTTTCTAAAAATTCAGAATAAAAAGTTGAAATTTTGATGAAAATTTGTTGAATTTTCCTAAATTTTTTATAGAGTTTGAAACTGTGATTTACACGGTTTTGGTTAAAGATTAGACGATATTTTTATATAAAAATAACAAAAAAAAATTTAGCTCGAAAAACACTATTAAAGTATTAATGCATATGAATAAGGAACCTATAATAAATCTTTAAAATGATAATTTCTTTTAAAAAAGTATATTCATGTATATGTATAACCAAATTTTTACAATAACTATAATTCGCTTTTCAGGAATGAGTACAAACGAGTTTATAAGTCGATGCTCAGAGGCTGTTTGCGACGACCGCAGCGCAACAACAAAAATTTGCCATCTAATTGCGTCGACTGCGAAGACACTCGGAAGTACGTAAAAACATCCATCGAGTTATATCATCACTTTTCAACTCCGTCGCTAAATCGACGTTGGATTTGTAATGACTGCGAATCAGAAAATAGTTCCGTTACGTGGCACTGCATTATCTGCGACACTGTGAGCTATTTGGCACCCATTTACAAAGAAAAAATTCTAAACCGAGAACACAGTCAATATAGGCAGGGCAAAACAACGCAACCAATTGCTGCAGAAAGTAAAAAGAAAAAAGTCCCAAAATCTTCTAACTGCTTACGTAGAACTCAAAGCCTCACTACAGACAAATCGTTCTCTTGCCGCAGTTGCCATATTTGCTTCGTAAACAATTGCAAAGACATTTTCAATCTACCGGACAACTGTATGCTAAAATGCAATAAAAAGGCAAATAACATACCTGGTGAGATAAATTATATAATTTTCGTTCAAGCATTTCCTAGTTTTTTTTAAGATGTTATCCCTTTTGGGTTCCAATGTACATTTGGCTAGTTTACTGGAAGAATGTCATAACTAAAAAAATGGGAGAAAAACGGCTTTGAAGTTTTTAGTAAGGGTTTCCCCCTAAACCGGAAAATAAAAAATGTAGCATATGTATAGGTATTGACAATAAAATACTCGAATCAAGCATATTTCGGATTTAGCATGGCAAAAAATTTGTTTAAGATTAATTTAAATCATATTTTTATTTTTACAACACAAAAATATGTAGAATCAGGACTCAGCCAAAATCGTTTAGGCGGTTCTAGCGCTAAACCAGAAGAAGAAGAATCAGATGATAAATTTGGTTGTATATTTACGTTATTTTTATTCAGTAAAAATCCAAAAAATATATCGTCACCTGAAATGCAAAAAGACGTAACAACATCGTAACTGAAATGGAAAAAAGTCGTGACTAAAAAGTTTTTTTTTGGTGACAGGTAATAAGATCAACGGAAATAAGGTCAATTCACTTTATTTCCCACCCTGGTGCGAAATAAAGACAATTGACATTATTACCTTTTTAAAAACGAAATAAAATCCATTGACATTATTTCTCTTTCAAACATTAAATTTGCTTAGCTTCGCGGCGGCCCGCGTCAGCGCGCCAAACCGCGCGCGCCGCGCTCTCGCTCGCGCCCCGCGTACCCAGTGCGACCAGCGCGCACACCACGTCACGCTACGCCGGCACTTTTGTAAACAACATTACATTTCAATACATTTTTGTGAAATCCTTTGCGTGCACTTCTTTTTCTCAACTAAAATTTTCTAATTTATTCTATTCAACTGGTTTATCTTATTTTATCATTGAACTTTTGTTTAGAAAATGTAGCTTTATTTTATTGCTAAATGTGAATGATTAAAAGAAATGACACCTTTTTTGGCACTTTTATTTTTCTATTTGGCACATTTTGGCACTTTTTTATCCCCAATATGGCACCTCATAACTAAGGATAGTTGCCAGCCCTGATTGGAAGATTTCTGCTGTGTTTTGGGGCAACAACTTGTCTGCAGTAAAAAAGCATAGAATTTGTGTTTCAAAAGTGTGTGAAAACTAATCAATTAACGTCTATGATATCGGTTCCGATATTAAATAATCAATAATTGTTTATACCCGCATTTTGGCACATTGGCTCGTTGAATGTGCCATTTAATAAATAGTGTCGTCATTCTCCTTAGCTGCTTTTAAATGATGTCGTCACAAATTGCTGGCGGAGACATGCATACAGTGTAAGAAAATTCTTTTTCTATAATTGTTTCCTTATAGAAAGGTTGGTTTCTTTTCCACCTTAGACATTCCGAATTCGTTCAAAATATGCTAATTTAAAACACAGAATTCTTTCAGTGTTCCTCCGGGGTTTTTGGACATGGACTGTTTCTTCAATTTAATAGTATTCGCTTTATTTTTGTGGAAACGAAACATGTTTTGCAAGTTATGGATCATTTCTACACTCTTTCTTCAAATATTTCTCGTATTCCAGCTGTGCGCAGGCGTTTAGTTTTTAGCATTGTGTTTTTACATATTCGTAATTTAAATTTTTTTAATAAAATCAAATGGTGGTAGTTCATGATTGTGTGTGGATTAATATCACAACACTGAGGATTTGGCAATAACCTTTTTCATCTATTAAAAAACAACACTTACGGGGCAATGTTTATTGTAAGAACAACATTTTTTTCTATGAATCGACATACTTTAAGCATTGTTGACGCTATTTCCACTTGAATGAGGAAATAACGTCAATGACTTTATTTCCAAATTTTTGTTGGCTTTATTTCGCTTTAGAAAAGGTAATAATGTCAATTGACCTTATTTCCATTGACCTTATTACCTGTCACCTTTTTTTTCATTGAATGATGTGGGAGTTGTAATTCGATGAAATCCATCATATCAATCAGAAACTAAATTTTTAATTTTTTATTAGTTACAACTTTTTGAATTTCAGCGACGATGTTTATTACGTCTTTTTGCATTTCAGGTGGCGATATGGGATAATCCATCGTCACGAGAGGGACATTTGTTCAGCAAAAATTGCTTTTCTTTTTTAAATTAAAGTATAAGGTACCCAGCGAATCTACATTTAGATACTTCAAAAAGTAATAATTTTGTAAACACTTGATTTTGCAGAGCTTTCTATATTCAAATACATTCTCGTATTCAGTTACTTTTCTAATGTTGCAGTTTTGAATGCACAGTGTAAGAAAATAATATAACTAAATATTTTATTCGAAAATACGTTGTTTTGGGGTATTAGTATTGATTCATCAAGCATTCCGTGTGCAATAAGTAACTTGATAATTGGACACAAGAGTTCACTTACTAACACTTACCTAATGTGACCAACTATTTCATAGCTCAAAGAAGTACAGAAACTGAAAACCAAAAATAGTATAAAAGTTATGAGAAAATGGTAAAACCAGAAAACGCAAAAACGGTAACAGTGTACCAATTCAGCAAATAAATTTTATTAATTAAAAATCTATACTTAATTATTATTCTAAAATAAGGCGCTCATTCCCCGCGATCTACTAATCGTACAGAGACAAGTCACATATGGGTGTCTCCAGCGGAAGGTCCACCACGACAAAAAAAATAAAAGTTTTATATCT